TTTTTTTTTTTTTTTTTTTTTTAGTAATCTCTACACCCAACATAGGGCCCAAACTTATGACACCGAGATCAGGCTTTGTAATAATAAGTGCATCTGTGCATTTCATTCAATTATGTTGAATCGTTGAAGACAAAACATACACCCTATAGATTTTTACAGCTGCAAAGACCCACAAAATAAGAAAACACATAGTAAAAAAAAAAAAAAATTCAAATATACTCCCTAAATGCCAACTCTAAGAAAGCAAATATTCCCAACCTCTAATGTCTCAAGACTACAGAATCAGAGTAATTTATTAAATTATCAATCATCATGCATCTGTATGAAGTTAACAGGACCTCTGCAAGCTTTATTAACAGTGACTGTTACTTGTATTTCTTTTTTGAGGAGGAATTTTGAAAAAATATTCATATAAGAAACATGGATATTACTAAGTATCAGTAAGCTGGCAAAATAACTTCCTATACCCAGCACCAGTTCAGGCCAACAGAGGAAGTTAGGCCAAAAAGAAAAGGATAAAATTTTCACCTTCTGGTTAGAGCATACAAACAATTTACACCATCTCACTGTCATTTAATAGGATCCATTTTTATTGGTTTCCTCGCATATGTATCACAGAAACAGAGACCATTAGTAGCCCAACATGGCTTAATTTTAACTACTTTGTTATTTACTACCATTGCTTTTATTTTAAAAAGATAACTTTTTGTAGACAACTATCCTGCCATGTCCTATTCAAGAGTTTGTCAGTTTTTTCTAAACTCCACAATACCTTGACTCTCCAAATCAGAGAATATTATTTCCATTTTACAGATAAGCAAATTCTGCCTGGGCAAAGTCAGATAAACTCTTAAATTACGAAAAAAATCCTGGGGCGCCTGGGCGGCTAAGTCGGTTAAAGAGTCCCACTTAGGCTCAGGTAACAATCTCACGGTTTGTGAGTTCGAGCCCCTGCGTTGGGCTCTGTGCTTGTGAGGTCCAGCCGGGTGTTGGACTCTGTGCTGACATCTCAGAGGCTGCTTCAGATTCCGTGTCTCCCTCTCTCCCTGCCCCTCTCCCGCTCTTTCAAAAATAAACAAACATTAAATTTAAAAAAAAATTTAAAGGGAAAAAAAAAATCCTGACTCCAAATGTGGTATTAGCACATGCTTTTTCCCTTCAGAAAACATGGCCAGTATAAAGGGGCACGCCCTGGAATCAAATCAAGTAGCCATATCTCCTCCCCATTGACACAACTCAGCATAACCAATGTAACACTGGTCTTTTAAGACTACATAAATGTTTTTTTTGAAAATCTAAAGAAGTACCTACTCCTGCAAAGTGCTCCAGAAGGAAGAAAAAAAAAAAAAAAAAAAAAAAAAAAAAAACTACGGCAAAGTAATCTAAGCTGTCTAACATTACCACGTGTAAATTTCACGTCAAGACTGTTACACCTGGACTCTTCTCACCACCACTTGAAGACAAGATTCCCACCCGGAGAAACTACAGACCTTTAACAAAATCCACATGTGCCACACCCTGTGGCCAGAGTGACAAACTGCAGTTTGGAGTAGGTTCATAGAGTCTCAACTGTAAGACTCAATGCAAGCGACAGAATACTCCTAAAGTAAATTCATGGGGTCATATTCCTGGTGACAGGCCCAGAGAGGCGGGGCAGATGAAAATGCTCCTCTCTGCATGCTCTTACCTGCTCCTGGGAGGCTTTTCTTGCGGCTCCGTTCCCCCGAAATCCACCGGGGGCACATCTGTAGACTCCGCTGGCTTCGGGGAAGAAGCGGCTGCAGGATCCGGGGGCCTGGGAGCCTCTTGTCCACGTTGGGGGTTGGGAGCGGAGGAGCTCCTGGCGCCTACACCAGGCCTGACATTCGGCTTCACGCTAAGGCGTGCCCTGCGGAACATGGCGGAGCCAGGGGGCCCGGGGAGGCGGCCCCACGGCCGCTCTCAGCCCCGAGCCCCGGCTGCTGCCGGGAGAAGGGATTAAGAACTACGTCCTTTCCACACGGCCACACCACCAGCCCAGCGGGCAGCTACCGCAGGTTCACACCCCCACCACCTCCTCCTTCCTCCCGCCGCCGCCTCTTCTTCATGACCCTGCTAAGTTTCCCCCAGTACCTTGCTTCCCCGCCCTCGTAGGGCGCCGGAACTGATTACGCCATCAGCCAGCGCCTAGGAAAAGCGTAAGACGCACAGCGCCCGGAGCCATGGTAACTGTCAAACTACAGAGTTACTAGTGAACCGGAAATTGAGATGTTCCGTGGTCAGCTCTCCCCTCTCCCAGCGTCCCTAGGAGTTACAGAAACGAGTGAAAGGAGGTAGTCAAGACCCTCTATAGACTTTTTATAAGACCCTTTTAAGACCCAAGACCCTTTATAAGACTATTAAAATCATGGGGCGCCTGGCTAGCAGCTCAGTCGGAGGAGCCTGCCACTCTTGATACCAGGGCATGAGTTCGAACCTCATATTGGGGGTAGAGATTATGAAAAATAATTAAAAACTTGAAAAAGAAGAAGAAGAAGAAGGTCTTGTAGAGTAGTGCCTGTTCGCCAGCACATCCCCAGGGCTTAGAAATTCTAAATTGAGTAGAACATAGATTACAAATTCAGGTATGAAGAAACTGGTAAGTTATCTCCTGTAAGGGGAACTAGGTTTACGGGAAACATGTCGTGGCATGAAGATCATTCACCGTATACCTTTGTATACTTTTTAATGTACGTGTTCAAAAAGTTTTATAGTTAAAACTATATAGTTATAGGGGTTCCAGGGTAGCACAGTCGGTTAGCATCCCACTTGGGCTCAGGTCATCATCTCCTGGATGGTGAGTTTGAGTCCTGTGTAGGGATCTGTGCTGACAGCTCAGGGCCTGGGACCTGCTTCGAATATAGGTATCCCTCTTTCTCTGCCCCTCCCCCATTGGCACTCTGTGTCTACTCAAAAATAAACACTCTAAAAATTTAACTATATAGTTATATAGTAAATTAATATATGTATTCATAATCTGCTTCAGGAGGTAGCATTAGAGCAATAAATAAGGTGTTCTGGGTTGGGGAGAAAAAATAAAACAAGTGAACAAGATTAAAAGTGTATTAAATGCATGAAAGAAATTTAAAGAGTATTATGAAAGAGATTATTGGGAGGCTGGCTTACTTTAGGTAATATGGTTAGGGAAGACTTATATGATTAGAAGAAAAATGGCCATAGATGAGATTGGCTGTACACAGTATGGGCGAGCTTTTTAATTCCCTGACTCATTGCAACAGCCAGGCCCAACTTCCTTTTTCAAGAATAAAACTCTACAAGGACATCCTGCTATGTTAATGGCAAAAGAATAAAATCTTTAATTAATTAAAGAGGTTGCTATGTCATCCAGAAGAAGAAAGAGAAGCGTTTTTGAGAGTAAGAGGGATGAAAGCACGTTAGAGAGAAGAGATTCCTCTAAGACTGGAAAGAAAATGGAAGTCTGTGGATTCTGTAGGCTCCCTCCAGTAATCTGGGGAGGGAACAGGACTTCAGATACACCTAAAGAAGGTCAAGAACTTGACAAAGAGCCCCCTACTGAAGATGTGTCACGAATCTTGGAGCCACTACTAGGACCATTTAGCTTTGCCCAGTATATTCTGGTGTAAAGATATTGCCTTTCCCAAAATGTTATGTTCCATCTAAGAATCTAGGCCACTCCCACAATTCTGTAGGTAAGGCAATTAATAACAAGGATTTAATTTGTCATTACTATAAATAAGGGAACAGAATCAGATCTAATTTTATTATTAAATATAAAGTCTTAAGATATGTTACACAACCAAGTTTGTGGAGTAAATTCTTAAAGGCATCAGAGTAATTTTAAAAGTCTTCAGTTTTCTCTAGCAGACACACCCAATATCTCTTGAGTATATCCCTACCATTCACAAAGTATATTTTCAACCGCAAAGAAAAAGGTCAATTAGACTGTAAATTAAGACTACAAACACAAACAATAACACTTCCACTTACTTTCCAATCCCAAATCGCTTCCCTCCCTTCTTCACAAAGACCCAGGACACAAGTCAATCTTTTCCCCCTGCTCAATTTACTCCAGAAGAGGTTGTTTAAGTGGAATCAGATGCTTGGCTCATAAACAGTATTGAAGACAGGTGGGGTTTAGGGTGAGTGACAAGCACACAAGGCTCTCTGAGGTTAAAAGATTGATAATAGCTAACATTGAGTGCTAACATATACTGAACACTTCGTACTTCACATACATTAATTCAATTAATTAAAGAGGTACATTTACCTTCCAATTTAATATGGAAGCTTTACCGCAATGAAATAACACACCCAAGTTCACACATCTACTCATTGGTAGAGCTGGGCTTTCAACCAAGACATCCCATCTCCAGAGCTCCAAGTCTTCACCACTTTGTCCTACCTTCTGTAAAATAGGTGACTTTTAGGAGTTAGAATAAAAATTGTTGAAGCTTGGTCACATATACTTGAGAATGCATTGCAGTATTTTCCATACTGTTGTAGATGTTTGAAATTTTCCAACATAAAAGCCTTTATAAAAAGGTGATTTTAGGGTGTACAGAGTAGCTCTACACGTTTGTTTGTAATAAGTAACGGGAGAGATGAAAAACGTAAGTATCAAACTAACCTCAGGCATCTTTGCACATGTTTCTAGCAATGGCAAATGCTCCACGGCTTTTACCCACGTTCCAAGGTTATTGTGAATAGGAGATAAAACTGCATCCCCTGCTATTCCCTTCCTATCATACAACCCAAGCACAGAGCCATTAACCTAAAATTCCTTCGGTACTGTCCACCGCGACAAAGGCAATGAGACTAAAAGGGAAATTAACAGATTTAAAGTCCATCTTCACTATAAATCTCACTTCTAAGAGTCCCTACCTGTTAGGACAGTCGCTCCTCGTTTCAGAGTCTCAATCTCCTCTTCCGCAGAATAGGAACAATGAAGCCTACTTACAGGTTTGGTGCTGAAATAAAAAAAATATGTAAAGAGCCAAAACTGTGTTTTGCATATTGAGTTAACCCTTAATAGGTTTTGTCCCCTTCCCGCTTCTGCAAGGAGATTAATGAATGCTAACGTTCTCGGTCTAAAAGTTAGATATAGTGGCGTTTGTTTTTGTCGTTACCAAAAAGAGGGGGCTGGCCAACCCCCAGGGCTCGGTACACAGTAGGGAAAATCCACAGACGCAGGACCTGCTTTCTAGACTCGACCAAATTTGCGTGACCGAGGGGACGCGAGCCCTGATTGAACTCCAGAAGCTGCCAGCCCGGGACCCACCGCGAGGACCGCCCCGCCTGCCCAGCGGCGCACGCGCAGTCAGCCTCCCGACTCGCGGGAGGCTGCGGTCGGGCCTCGGTGGGCGGGGCGATGGAAGGAACAGAGGCGTAGCCCGGCTGAGGGCCGGCGCGGGCTCAGCCTTCAAGAGCCGCGGGAGGGGACGACCGCTGAACGCGTTAGGAGGCCGTTGCTTCTCCGAGTGGCTCTCTTTTGGGTTCGGTCGGGTGTCGGCATGGCCCGTGAGTATGCGGACGGGTGAGGGACGCGGCGGGGAGCGTCTGCAGAGGAAGCCGAGGTCCGTAGGCGCGGCTGGAGAGGAGGCGGGAGCCGGCTGATGTATCCCCTTAGGTCCGACGGCGCGGGGACCCCATTCTCTCAGCCCACCGAGGGAGAGGGACAACCGGTTAGCTTCGGGCCCGCCTGAGAAGTGGGGCATGTGCCTGCCGGCCAAGTGCGAGTTTACAGGGTAAAGAACACCTCTCTGGAGGTGAGGTGTGTGAAGACGGCGGCCCCGGGACGGGTCTTGGTCAGAAAGTGGTTTATAGTTGGTCCTTAAGGTCCTAAGGCCTGAGAAGGGCAGGAAGCTCCGGTTGAGTCCCTTCCCTAGTTCTTTTGTTTGGCCCTTCCAGGTCATGTATCCCGAACCGCTGCGTTTACCCGCTTAACAGTGGAATTGTGATGGGCCAACTTGTGGAGCTGTGTTCCCTGTGTATCTGTCCTTCTCTCCATACTCCTCAAAAGCTAGACCTTAATTTGGAACGTACTGACCCATATAGACACAGGAGTGGAATGCTGGTTATAAGTGATCCGTTATTTACGTTAATTGAACACCTGAATTGGTATGATAATGCTCTTAAGACTTGAAGTGTTTGTGTCTGAGCTTCTTCCTCGGCTACTATGAGAACTCTGTTCAGTGCAGTGCTCTGCTGGCCTGTTAAAAAATAAAAAGCTAACTTCAGATGCATGTAAATAAGAGTCTTTTAACGGAATTGGTATTAATTTTTGAGATGGGAAAAGAGCATGACTGTTTAACTTTGCAGGCGGAAATCAGCGAGAACTTGCCCGCCAGAAAAACATGAAGAAATCCCAGGAAATTAGCAAGGGAAAAAGAAAAGAGGATAGCTTGACTACCTCTCAGAGAAAACAGAGGTAAGTGATACTAATCGAATTGTCAAATCTCTGAAGTTTTCCTTTTAAGAATGGAAAGAATTTTTTTTAAATCCTGGGTAGAACTAAGCTTAGCTTGCTTAGTAGGGGTCACAGATGAACAGCTGTGCTGCACATGCTATAACTATTATGACTACAGTCATCCCAATCCCTGGATGAATCTTCTGCTTCCCCACCACAGCCGTAAGAACTTCATTTAGCGAAGTAATGGAATGCCTCCCATATGAAAGACACTGTTACATGCTAGGGATACAACATTTCCGAAGCAGACCTCCGACTCAACCTTGTCAGGATGACAGGTGACTCAATTACAGTGATAAATGTTATGAAAGAGACACAAAAAAGTGTGTAGCTATATTCATTTCTGAAGATCCATGGGGTTAGAGAAAATGCAGGTCCACAGCCTTGATATGTAATTATGTAATAAATAATAGAAAATTAATTGTAATTTTGTAATAATACAGAAATACTCTCAGAGCGCAGCTTAAAATTTCTCACCAAGAAGATGGCTTTAAATGATATGTGTATTTAAACCCTTGCAACTTCATCAATCTGCTGCCTTTTTACAGTAGTAAACAAATACTTCACAATTGCACTGTAGTTACTTTGTTGTACTTTGGGGGTTTTGGGGGGTTTGTTTTGTTTTGTTTTTTAATGAAAGCCAGCATGTGTTTTGGCTTAGCTTTGTAAAAGGTTTTATTCAGTAGGTTTCTTGCCCAGCACTGAGCCCAATGAGTCGTTTGAACTCAAAACCCTGAGATCAAGACCTGAGCTGAGATCAAGTCTGATGCTTAATAACTGAGCTACCCACGCACCCCAGTTTTTGTTGTTTTAATTAAGAATGGCTTTGAGGCCAGGAGATTCCTTAATTCTAGAACTCTCCAAGCAGAATTTGTTGAGAAAGTCAGTGCTTCCACAACTAGAAAGTTGGGTCTCTAAATTATTAGAGGTCTTTAATGTCAGTGTTTTAAATTCCCATTTAAGGGGAGCACGTGTAGGGTTGAGGTAGTATGTAAAGAGGAAGAACAAAGAGAAGCAGCCATCATTGCAAATAGGCATTCTGTTTTTAAGATGGTAACAAATAGTTTATTTCCCCACTGTTAGGCCTTCTGGAACACATAAAAGCATGGTATAATGGGAGACAAAAAAAAAAAAACCCTCTAATTTTGTCTATGTACAACTTGGAGGTCAGGTGAAGAAGTGACTGCACATGCTTTAGCAGGGCTTCTCTGTGGTCCTCAAGCCTGCACATTAGAAACACGTGGGAAGCCTTGAGTGTTACTAAAGCCTGTGCTTTAATTCCAGTCCTTCTTTAATTGGTTTGGGGCTGGGCATAACAGGTGCTCTGGATAAATTTTATTGTGTGTAAGTTAAACCTAACTTTAAAAATTTCCTCAGGTGATTCTGATGTGCACCTAGAGTTAAAGATCAGTGTTTTGGGGTGTCTGGCTGGCTCAGTCTGTGGACCATGCAGCTTTGATCTCATGGTTATGAGTTGAAGCCCCACATTGGGCTGATTATCACTTGATGCTTTCCGTGGTATTAAAGTGATAAGGTTTGTCTTAAATTTCTCTTTAGTCACATTGGAGTAAAAGTGAACATAGTACCAATCAGTGAACCTGGAATTTTTAGTGAAGATGTCTAGATTTCTAGATCTAGTCTAGCTTGGTACAATAATAGTCACTGTTGAATTATTATCCACTTGTTAGCTCTGTTCTAGGTACTATGTACGTTCTACCTCTACTCATCACCCTGAGAAGGAATGTTAGCCTCAATGTATAGAACAGGAAACTGATGCTCTGAACTTCAGTAACATTACTGAGGTGACAGCAAGCACAACAGAGCTTGGTTTCAAACAGAAAAGTAAATATTGCTTTTTTTTTCTTTGTAGGTGTGTTGTTTTTCCTTCATACTCATACATAAGCTTTTTGTATTTGTTTTTTAATGTTTATTTTTGAGAGAGCGCACAAGAGGGGGAGGGTAGAGAGAGAGGGAGATACAGAATCCTAAGCAGGCTCCAGGCTCTGAGCTGTCTGCAACGAGCCTGATGCAGGGCTGGAACTCATGAACAGATAGTAGGTGTTGATTACAAGGTCATTAAATACATTTTTTTTAAATAAGGGTCTTGTGTTGACAACCAAGAGTAATTGCCATTATTCTGTATGTAGCTGCCTAATGGCCAGTATATACATTGGTAGCTATTCTATAGAACAACCCTGGTAAGTAGTGTTGTGATTTTGAAAGATCTTTGAGGTTACTTGCCCAAGACCATAACAACAGGGATGGTTTTCAAAATAAGATCCAGCTTCAAAGCCCTTCCATTCTTTTTCTTCTGTCTCCAAGAAAACAAAGACATGAATTTTTATATCTTCTTTTAAAATTTTTTTTTCAACGTTTTTTATTTATTTTTTTGGGACAGAGAGAGACAGAGCATGAACGGGGGAGGGGCAGAAAGAGAGGGAGACACAGAATCAGAAACAGGCTCCAGGCTCCGAGCCATCAGCCCAGAGCCTGACGCGGGGCTCGAACTCACGGACCGCGAGATCGTGACCTGGCTGAAGTCGGACGCTTAACCGACTGCGCCACCCAGGCGCCCCTATCTTCTTTTAAATTGTATCTTAATATGCTTAATGGGTTGTGTATAGAAAACAAGTGAGAATGTAAAATGAGTTTTTCTGTAACAACTTAAAGCCTTTTCCCCCATTATAGGGACTCTGAGATAATGCAACAAAAGCAGAAGGCAGCTAATGAGAAGAAGTCTATGCAGACGAGAGAAAAATGATGACTATTTGGAAAACCTGGGTGCTACTGCCAACAAGGTGTATCATAAGCTCTGATGAAAGTTTTGTGGAGTAAGCAGTCCTATGTTACAACATGTCCTTACAAAACTATTTAAACTTTACCTCTCAGCCTAACTTAGTGTGATGTTTCAGAACCATTCTTCAAAGAATAAAACAAAAGCTATGCATGAGACATATTGTTGAATGTTATTTTTTTTATCAGCAGTGAGCATTTATCTAACAGATAAAGTGATAAGCTAACATAATCTCTTTTAAATCTAGAATCTTTGTCATAAACTTAATGTAGGTCTTAAAGTCAACTTTATAATAAAAGGGAAGAGGGAGAGGAGAATCTCAAGCAGGGGCTCAATCTCCCAAATCATGAGATCATGACTGGAACCAAAATCCAGAGTTTGATGTTAACCAACTGAACCACCCAGGCACCCCATCCACAAAGATTCCTGATGGGTCTGATTTCTGAAATCCTATCTCCAGATTTTCTACATACTGATAATTCATGAATACAAAGCACTTGTTAGGCTCTGAGCTGTATCCTTGGCTTTTTTTTTTTTTTTTCCCATAATGAGTAGTTTCCATGTCTTTTTGTTTTCACAATTTTAATTTGAAAAAATTTTTAATTTTTTTTTTAATTTACATCCAAGTTAGCGTATAGTGCAACAGTGATTTCAGGGGTAGATTGCTTAATGCCCCTTACCCATTTGGACCATCCCACCTCCCACAATTCTTCCAGTAACCCTCCGATTGTTCTCCATATTAAAGAGTCTCTTCTGTTTTGTCCCCCTCCCTGTTTTTAAATTATTTTTGCTTCCCTTCCTTTGGGTTCGTCTGTTCTGTGCCTTAAAGTCCTGACAGGAGTGAAGTCCTATGGTATTTGTTTTTCTCTAATTTAGCTTAGCATAATACCCTCTACTTCCATCCACCTATTTGCAAATGGCAAGATTTCATTCTTTTTGATTGCCGAGTAATACTCCATTGTATATATACCACATCTTTTTCCATTTATCCGTTGATGGACATTTGGGCTCTTTACATACTTTGGCTATTGTTGATGGTGCTGCTATAAACATTGGGGTGAATGTGCCCCGTTGAAACAGCATACTGTATCCCTTGGGTAAATACCTAGTAGTGCAATTGCTGGGTCATAGGGTAGTTCTATTCTTAATTTTTGGGGAAGCTCCATACTCTTTTCCAGAGTGGCTGTACCAATATGCGTTCCCACCAGCAGTGCAAAAGAGATCCTCTTTCTCCATATCCTCACCAACATCTGTTGTTGCCTGAGTTGTTAATGTTAGCCCTTCTGACAGATGTGAGGTGGTATCTTGAGTGGTTTTGATTTGTATTTCCTGGATGATGAGTGATGTTGAGCATTTTTTCATGTGTCTGTTGGCCATCTGGATGTCTTTGGAGACATGTCTTTTGCCCATTTCTTCTCTGGATTATTTTTTGCGAGTTGGATAAGTTCTTGATAGATTTTGGATACTAACCCTTTATCTGTCATTTGGAAATACCTTCTCCCATTCTCTCGGTTCCTTTTAGTTTTGCTGATTGTTTCTTTCACTCTGCAGAAGCTTTTTATGTTGATAAGGTCCCAATAGTTCATTTTTGCTTTTGTTTCCCTTGCTTCTAGAGACGTGTTGAGTAAGAAGTTGGTGCGGCCAAGATCAAAGAGGTTTTTGCCTGCTTTCTCGTCGTGGATTCTGATGACTTCCTGTCTTACATTTAGGTCTTTCATCCATTTTGAGTTTATTTTTGTGTATGGTGTGGGAAAGTGGTCCAGGTTCATTTTCCTGCATGTTGCTGTCCAGTTTTCCCAGCACCACTTGCTGAAGAGACTGTCTTTATTCCAGTGGATATTGTTTCCTCCTTTGCCAAAGATTAGTTGTCCATACGTTTGTGGGTCCATTTCTGGATTCTCTCTTCTGTTCCATTGATCTGAGTATCTGTTTTTCTGCCATCCATGTCTTTTTTTAATTTTTTTATTTTGGGAGACAGGGACAGAGAATCCCAAGTGAGCTCTCTACTGAGAGATGGAATTAGAGGGGCACCAAGAGGGGCTCTTGGTTTCGGCTCTAGTCATGATCTCAGGTTCCTAGGATCGAGCACAGAGCCTGCTTGGGATTCTGTCTCCTTCTCTCTCTACCAGTGTCTTGGTTGGGCGACCAACTTCAGGTCATTGATCTTAAGGTTTGTGGGTTTGAGCCCTGTGTCAGGCTCTGTGTTGGCAGCATAGAGTCTACTTTGTATTCTCTCTCTATCCCTCCCCTGCTTGCACTCTGTCTCATTAAAAAAGTAAAAATAAAAAATGAGGGTGCCTGGGTGGATGGCTTAGTTAAGTGTCCAACTTCAGCTCAGGTCATGATTTTATAGTTGCTGGGTTCAAGCCCCAGGTTGGGCTCTGTGCTGACACCTCAGAGCCTGGAGCCTGCTTCAGATTCTGTGTCTCCCTCTCTCTCTCTGCCCCCTCCCCACTTGTGCTCTGTCTCTCTCTCTGTCTGTCTCTCAAAAATAAAAAGTATCAAAATGTAAAATTTTCTTAATCAGTTAATCCTTATAAATCTAGGGAAAAGTACAGTTTGTAAAAGAACATGGATATTAGGATAAGGAAGATTTCTATGTTGTAATCGTTAAGATTTCAAAACTGAATCTTAATTATTTGGTATTTACTTGAATGAATTCATTGTTAAGGTAAAGGGTTTCATTTTTTACTTGAACATGACTGTTTCCTCAAAGCCGACAAAAGTTACGTGACAGGAAGAAATGAAGTTTAATTGCTCTAATGTATTGACACTTTAGTTTCTTTGGTTGTAGTATATTTAAGCAGGGTAAGTTAAATAGCTAAACTTTTTTTTTCATGTTTATTTCCGAGATCAAGAGAGACAGAGCACAAGCTGGGGAGGGGCAGAAAGAGAGGGAGACACAGATTCCAAAGCAGGCTACAGCCTAAGAGGGTAACTGGTCAAGGTATTTCCCTTAATACCTGAATAAGAAGAGAGTAAGGAAAAATATAGATGAATAATTGCATCCAGTCAGTGAAGTAAATTTATATATTCACTTTAGATAATTCTTTAGGTATGTTGCTAAAAAGCAAGATAAAATTTAGACAAAGTAGTGCCTACTTTAAAATGTAACTTAAATTCCGAAGACCACGGAACACTCTTCTAGGTGTTAAAGTTACTGTCTTGCATCATCCTTAATAGGAGGTACTGCATTGTTGTTAGCAATCTACCTAAGTCCTGCTGAAATGTAAGAGGTAGCAGCCACTCCTGCCCAAGGTGATAACAGGTCAGTTTCATCAGCTACTTGACTCCTTTTGAATGCCTTTTCTGTTAGTTGTGTGTGTAAGAAATTGTTACCCACTTAACACACTATAGGTTGTTTTTGAAAAGTAAAGCTTGCAGGAAATACTGATTACTGACATTTTTCTCACTTTTTAAAAAGTACATTTTGTTTTTCTGTATGTTTTCATAGATGGGAAGAGTCTACTCACTTGTATAAAGTGAGAATCTTGATGTATTTTCAAGTTGTGCCTTTATGAAAAGAGCTCTTCTTTCTATTCAAGGCATGTGTCCTGCTGTTAGCTTTGAGCCTATAAGCTGTTTGAAAACTATTGACCTTAAAAAAGCATGTCCTCTGACAATGTGTATATGTCAAATCATATTGTATACCTTAAATATACTGTCAATCATACCTCATGAAGCTACGGAAGGGAAAATATCCTTCACATGGAAACCTAATATAAAATTGACTTTGGCGATTTAGATAATGAGATTGGTACGTCTTACCATCTGTGTCGGGTACTAGCAATGATACAACCTAAGCACAGAGCATGTCAACTTGTTGAGGTAAACTCCTATTTGCCTTTGGTGACGAGGACCTATTTAAAAAAAAAAAAATGAGAATTGAATTGAAAAACTGAATTATTTTTATGGACTTGTCAATCATAATTTTCCATTAGAATTTCCCATAAATTAGGGGCGCCTGGGTGGCGCAGTTGGTTAAGCGTCCGACTTCAGCCAGGTCACGATCTCGCGGTCCATGAGTTCGAGCCCCGCGTCAGGCTCTGGGCTGATGGCTCAGAGCCTGGAGCCTGTTTCCGATTCTGGGTCTCCCTCTGTCTCTGCCCCTCCCTCGTTCATGCTCTGTCTCTCTCTGTCCCAAAAATAAATAAACATTGAAAAAAAATTTAAAAAAAAAGAATTTCCCATAAATTATAGCAAGGTTTAAAACTTCATACAGGCTTTTCCTTAGAACTTTGCTTGTTAAAAACCTTTTACCACTAAATTAACTAACATGCATGAAAAAGTTCAGAGTAGGCTACTGTTAGGCTATTTGTCCAGGAAAATTGAAATGTTAAAATTTGATTTTGATTAATAGACCTTTTATAGAAATATTTTCCATACCACATCCTACTCATGCTACTTTATCCGTTTGACATGACTTTGCTTGCTGGTGCATCCATGCAGGAACATATCCTTCAGTATTACTGAAAAAAGGTTTTTTACAGTTTTTTAGCTTCTAAGAAATAGTCTACCAACCTGGCTGTAATCAAGACAAAATCCTATTGAATACTTTGTTTTTATAGACATATATTGCATGATGAAGGATTTTGTCAAGGACTTGGAATTTGGAGTGGGGGGAGGAGGTATTGTTCAAGTTATTACACTAAAGATGACTGTTAGGGTGGCTTACGAATAAACACTTAACATAGAGTTGTGTTTTGGTATGCTTGAAGACCTAGAAGCACATCAGATCTGTGATTTGATGGTATATTGAAATTTTTAGTTGCGAACAGAATCATTAATTACAAATAACCACAACGAATATTTAAGTGGATGACAGACTCCAGAGTCCAAGGAAAAGTTGAAGACGGAAGCCTTGGGAAAAGTCAAGGCTGGGGATAGCTGGGGATACCTGGGGATAGCTCCAGGTACCATGAGAAGCTTTTTTCCCCACAACGCTGCTATCAGATTGAAATTTGGGCAATTATTTTCAGTCATAATGCCATTCAGAGTTCCTCCAAATGAACTTGTTTAGGTTACATGCCTACCCCTCAGCAAGGGGAGGATAGGTGCCTAAGATGATGATACAACCAAGACTTCATCCAGTGAGAAACAGGTGGTCCCCCTAGGAAATGTGGGATTCTGTTGCCAGAAAGGAGAGAAGAGACACT